GACATAAAAGGCTTTTATGTTGTACAATTTTTTTCAAGCTGAAAGATCATTTTGTCAGTGAACTACTCTGGTTAGTTCTTGGTCCTCAGTGGGGACCAGATCTGGCATGACTGAGAGCCAGTTGCTTGACAAAGCTTTGGCTACTGGCTAACAAAGGGAAGATGTTTATCAATGTATGTCCGCTACTGGAAAACAGTAAATAGATTTTGGGTGGGAGGGGATTAAAACTAACCTCCGTACAAATGAAAGATAACTTGGAAGATAAATGATACCATTTGAGGTGTTCAAAGCATGATTAAAGAGATGTAGTAATTTCCCAATAACTGTACATCCTACAGGTATTTTTGTGGCCCCTGTGAACGTTATCCATTACATTACATTCTTTTGGCCAGTAGAGTGTCCACCGTAGCAGCAGGAAGTGCAGCTGTTCCCAAGGCCTTGGATATGAATATGGCCAAGACTAAAACCTAGTACACCACTCCCATATCAAAGAATAAGAGGTCTTCCATGATTTTTCTGTGCATCAAGAAGCTTTAAAGTGGTTGTAAAGGCTCAAGATTTTTTACCTTTATGCATTCTATGAATGAAGGTAAAAAAAAAACCTTCTGTGTGCTGCTACCCTCACAGCCCCCCTAATACTCACCTGAGCCCCCTCTGAAAACAGCACAAGATCCTCAGGTGTCCTGGGTCTCTCCTCCTCATTGGCTGAGACATAACAGCAGGGGCCATTGGCTCCCATTGCTGTCAAGCACAGCCAGTGAGGAAAGAGCAGGGGGTGAGGCCGAGCCGTGGCTCTCTATGTCTTGTGTCTTATGGGTGCATAGAGCAGGATTAAGGAGCGTTCAGGCTCCAGTGCCCCCATAGAAGGCAGCTTGCATTTGTGGGCACTGGTCAAGGGAGAGGAGCCAGGAGCACCAGTGGGGGACCTGAGAAGAGGGGGATCATGGCTGCTCTGTGCAAAACCACTGCACCCAGCAGGTACGTATAACATGTTCGTTATTTAAAAAAAAAAAAGATGAAACTTTAATATCACTTTCATTTAATTTCACTGTGGGAACTGGTCAGTTAAGCATTCTACAGAAACAGTTTTTTTGTCAAAATAATGACACATGTGGACGTGCTTCATGTTTCTAAAAAGCATTCAGCAGCTTTATTAAGTTACAGCTACAGAAAGCTAATAAAATAGCAAATATAAATAATACACAGCTTCTCTATTATTATATACATGAAAAAGGTGACTGTTATTTTTTTCTCAAACAATGATACAGTGCATTAATTATCAGTTTGTGGAACCATATGACTTGAAGTAAAGCTGCAACTTAAAGAGCAGGAGTCTCCAAGACACAGCGGAGACATTCATTTTGAGTGTCAAATCAGTATTCAGATTCATGGCTCTAATGCCTAAGGGCACAATGTGAAAAAAATCATCCCTGACATTAAAACACACCAGTTCACATTCCTATGTGTGAACAAACTAACTCAAGCCTATGGAACCAATACTTTATATATGTTGCAACCAAATGACAACTTCTTAGCCATATGGTGCCCAAGTGCCGAATTAAATAGGATTCAGTCAATTGTGTGTATTGAGGAGCCTGAAGGAACTCAAAAAATCACAATGCTGTCAAAGAGAAGCCCATTTAGCAAAAAAACCTATAGGTGGCATCCTCCAGCTCTCAACATGGCTGCCTCCAAAGTGTATAAGGTGTGTCCAGAAAGCAATAAGAATATTTTTAAAATTCTATTATTGAAACAATTTGCCATTGAACATTGTATGTTTCAAAGTATGCACCTTGTGAGTGTACACAATGCTCCCAGTGATTTTTCCATTCTTCATAGCATCCCCTTGAACATAGAAACTTCATTCTCATTATATTCTGGAGACCCATCGTACACATAACAGATGCTCTTGAAGACCACATGTACCGATCATGTTACATCCCAAGGTAAGTGCAGGATGGAAGAACACAATTTATACAAATATATTTATGCAGAAATACTGTCTAAATCTACATTGTTGTATATTTAACAACAAATGTCAATTTATGTGCTTTACAGTTGCATAGCCATGCAGGCTCTGTGTAGAAATTTAGACTTGTGCTATTTACAGAATATATATACTGATCTCTTTGCATTTGATGGTTATGTAACAAGTTAACAAACAGTATTGTCATTTATTTGGAAGAGGCAACTGCTGAAAGAGCATACAAAGGGTTACAAGGTGCTCCACACCAGTAACTTTTCCTAACAAGTTAAAAACATACTACACAAGCGTAATATAAATTAACAATATAATATTAATAACAGCAATAATAAACTACAACTACTCTACAATGAACATTTATGTAAAACACACAAACAGGTCCTCGGGAGCTGCAGAGTTACACACCCAGAGAGATACCTTATTGCTCAATTTTATTGCCTATGCTTTAATTAGGGACAATCCTAAGAGCCATTATAGTCCCATGCCTACAATGTACAGTCCTCAAGTTTGGTAAAAGTTTTCAAGTGTCACAGGATATATTAACCTCATGTATAAAAAAATACTGGAAAGACAAAGTGGAGATGTGGCCCTATAAAAATGACAGGTGTAACTGGACTGGGAGTTGAGGGCATCACCTTCACTTTACTTTCCTCCAGGTTTTAAAAATGAGACCAAACAACCACCCATAAAATCACTCATAAACCTATATTCAAAATATATGCCAGCCTAATAATTTACAGGGGTAATTATATACAGTATATATATATAAAAAAAATACTTGTCAATATTAAGGCAGTGTGTTGCCTGGGATAAATAAAATATATTCTTTTATTAGGGGACTTTATTGGATACAGATAGTAAATAAATTATTGATGTGTTTATTTTTAATTGCTAACTATGTGCCACATCAGTTACACAGTAAAGATTCTGTAAGCCATTACTAAATCCCAAGTTCACTCAGCAAATACGCTTCCTGCGAAGAGTTTTTTTCTCTAAATGTTTCCAGCAACAGAACTGACTACAAAAATGACGTGTAATAATCTGAAGCTCCACTTTTGAACCGTTCTCAGTGATTTCTCAATCTTTTTTTATATTATTCACCTACCTCTGTCCAAACAAATGTGTCAGGCCCCTAAAAAGATTCTCCTATCTTTGGCCATGTCATATAACAAAGGTGTCAAGCTGTCGGAATTACATAAAAGACTTTAGTTGTCTTTTATGTAAATACATATATATATATATATATATATATATATATATATATACTAAATATATAATATTTTACGTAATTCTTAATGTAAAGCTTTGTAGACTGACAGCAGGACACGGAGTGTGCCTACTGCCCCAGTTTATAACCTGGTACAAAGCTAACAAGGAGAAATGTGAATGTGAATAGCATCAAGCACACCTATCCCTGAGAGATTGGGCTATACATTGTAACAAGTTAAAACTGGAGATTCAGAATCTTGCAAATGCCTATCCAGCTTTGTTTCTTGCACCTCTTGCTTTGTAATAACTGCAGCAAGCTCAAATGAATTGAAAAACCTCCATGTGACTGTATACTGGCATTCGCTAAGTGTGTTGCATGAGGAACATTTTTAAACTTTGCAAGTAGAAACTGAATAAGGCTCTATTGAAATGCCAAAACTGCTCATGTGGTATTTTTCCATTTGAATATACACATTAAATTTGGCATTTTTTAATTTAAAATATAAAATTATATTGTATAAATGTTAATTTTAGACATTTTATAGTGTGACTGCATCTTTAGTATAGATTATGCTTTCCCTTTTTTGTCTGTGTTTCCCTTTCTATGTGCTGACACCTGAAGAAGCAGACAATGGAGCTAAAGGGCACTAAATTCTTCACACTGTGCTACCAGAAATCTGTTTTTTATGAGAACAAAGTTCCTGTGTTCATCACTAGTATACTGCTGAAAACAAAGATGTGATGTTTTTATACAAAAAGCCGTGTCATAATTTCCAGGTCACCCATTTTTATCTCTATACTGTGAGATTGCTTGGCGGTAATGAAATCTGTCCTTGCGAGGACAAATTAATTAAAAGTACATTTTAACTTAGATTTCAATTAACACCAAGTAATAAAGGAACAATATGTTTCATAACATCTCCTACCAATTTGGTATAAAGGAGCACACTGTAATTTCTCCTTGCAAATTTTGTTTTGTAAATTAATTTCGAACTCCACTAAGAATTGCCAAAAAACGCTGTCACTCAATGACAACAATGTGCGGGGTTGACATTGGCACTATTATGTGTCTATAACCCCTATCTGGCATCTAGATTATCTGGATGTTAAAGACATCAAATAATTCAGAACAATGACAGCCATTCACAGGTTTTGACTAAATGTTACCAACCGGTGTGCATTAGTCTAGCCAATTTCAATTTCTCTAGTTGGGATCTAAAAAATTATCTTATTTGCTTATTGGTAAAACTAATTAAAACATTACTGTGCATTAAAACGAATACTGGTGAATCCAGCCATTGCTACCAGCAGTGATATATTATGAAGGCCATCCAACTTCATTTACCAGTTTAAGATTGGCCCACCTTTAGGGATTTTTAGGTTATTTTTGTGAAAATGGTATTATGTATGGCCATTATGCATAAGCAGATCTGTCACCCTATACAATAAAAAAATCTGACATTGTCTTTATCGCACTACAGTTTCTTGGGCCAGGAGTTTAAAGCAAAAACTGAATATTTCCCAACAACTAGCAGCAAAGCATGGAACTCAGTGTTCTGTAACACTGGATCGCCAATGCTATTTCCAATGATCTATCCTACAAAAATATATGACCTATTTACAATATAAATTTTACTGGTCAACTACATATTCCAAATCCTTGGTGGCATAGGTTGTGTCCAGGAATGTCACTGATGGCCCAGTCCAGTTGAGTCTATAGCATGTGATGGTATAACAAATTGTGGCGGTGTAAGGAGTCTGTAACATGTACAGGAATGCAATAGTTGAATCATAGGCCTCTCCTGCTCTAGCGTTGGCCTGCTTCCCGGATCCTGCATGCCACGGCTGTGATGAGTGCTGCTCCCTTTCCACTGCCATCTTCTGACTGCATAAAGGTCACCTGACACTTTGGAGACAGTTCTTTCACAGTTTGGTGCATGATGGAGGAAAAGCTGCAAAGAAATAAAAAAAAAGTATTACACTAATGAAGTGAGCTATAGAAAACACTACACATTTGTGGATGCACAAGTATGCTTCATAGAGACATTTATTTATTTATTTATTATAGGTACCTATATATAGCGCCGTCAATTTACGCAGTGCTATACATATATATTGCATGTTCACATCAGTCCCTAACCCTCAAGGGTTGTACAATCTAAGGTCCCTAACTTACATTCATACACACACATACTAGGGACAATTTAGACAGGATCCAATTAACCTGCCAGAATGTCTTTGGAGTGCCTCTCTGCAATGCATTGACTTCTGCTAACTTAGGGTAAATGCTTAGATATTTTAAAGTATATATCAATACACAAGCAGGAATGGAATTTATTAGACTGTTAATGCATAATTGTTTATTTAAAATTAACAACAGAGTCTGTGAGATAAACTGTGTCCAAGCAAGGGTACAACTATTGCCATAGCAGGCAATGCAACTCTTCTGGGGCCCAGAAACACAAGAAGAAACACAAGTAAAGCTGGATATCAAGTGATTTATGCAGGTGGCAAAAGCATTTGTTTAACTTGATTGTATATAGAGTTTGAAAAAATATATTTAACTGATATAAAAGCATTTAGTATTCTCTATTGCTAGAGGAATTAACTTGGGGAATAGAGAAGCAGGAAATACCATTGATTCAGTTGCCCATTATACATAGTTTTGGTCCTATGCAAAAGGATGGCAAGCTCTGTTGTTTAAAGGCTAATCATTTTTCCCTTTAAGACCTCCAGCTAAGACATACCATATATAGGTGTTAGGCATCACATGATGGTATTGTACCAGTGGCAGAATGGCTGGGCTGCTTGAAGCACATCTGGATCTTAGATGGTAGATCCAGACACATTTTTAGCTGTATATTTGACTAACAAGTCAACGCAGATAGGATAGGAAATGTTGAGAATCTACATTACTTGATTATTCAAATTTCTTGTAAGTTTCATAGGACTTACTGTGGGTGAAGCTTATAGAGAGTTCCATCCACTCCCACTGTGACCTTTAGGGTCTCCAGTCCACGGTTTTCCCTAATCTTGTCAACCACAGCGGCCACTCCAGCTCCACATAGCTGAGCACCTCTCCGGGCCACGACTGTGCACACCTCCTTCACAATGATACTGTCATCACACGTGCTGTCCAATCCAAGGTGCTGGAGAATGGAGCGTACCTGCAGCAATGCCAAGCGATCACTGGCAAGAGAAGACATAAACTAAGTATACAACTTTTAATCTTCTTAAAATAAACAGAATAATGTCTTATAAATCAATATGGCCCATATAAATTATGACAGTTTCGGATCTGCAAAGTTCTGCTTTGGATGAGGTAAAGAGCGGTCATGACACGAATCCCACTTTGTCCAATCAGAGAACGCCTTGTATTCTTAGAAAAAAATACAAGGCGTTCTGTGAATGACAGCAGTACCAAGAGAGCAACTCCCTGTGCACAGGCCCTGGACTTGGAAGTTTGCGGTGATCACTGTAGAAGTCAGTGATTGTTAGCTTCCACAGTTGGACCAATGTAGGTAGGCAATTGATATCATACATGGAATTCAGCATCAAGTCATAATTAAACTTTGCCCTTACTGTAGTTAAGCATTAGCTGCCCTCTGCCTTTGCTTAGCCCAACCTTTCTCAACCAGGGTGCCCAGGCACCCTGGGGTGCCTTGAGGTTTCTTCAGGGGTGACTTGGCAAAAGGTCTAAAAATTGTCCAAAACTTGTTATACAAGCCAGCGTGTGGAACAAGCCTGTCTTTTAGTTACACAAAGTCACAGGTTTCATTGTGCACCATTACAACCTTCTAGCCACTGAAATCCTAACAACCAATGACATCATCAGTTGATAAGGAGGATGTCACCTGTCTGCACAGAATCCTAGTTTGACCCTCCCCTGCCTCTCTCCATCAGTGCTGGGGGTCACATTAGCTCAGTGATGGAGAAAAACTGAGGGAGAAGAGAAACACTCAGTAACAGTGTGCAAAGGTGTATTTGCTTTGGAAGAATAAATCACTTCTAATGTTGGGTGTCCTACATGTGTGGATGTGTTATATAAAACCATTAGATTAGTTTTTCACATTTTTATAATGGGGTTCTCTTTTAAAATTATAGACAGTCTTGAGGCACCCCATTTTAGAATGGGGTGCCTCAAGACTATCCATAATTTTAAAGGGTGCCTCAGGACTGTCCTTAATTTTAAAGAGTGCCTTGACTGAAAAAAGGTTGAGAAACACTGGCTTAGCCTATACTGCCCAATCACATTTCAGCACCTGACTGCTGACTGAGGGGATGGGGTATATTCCTGAAAGCAGCTGGGCTAAATCTAGACTTGAACAGAAGTGGAAGAAAATGTCCAGCCAAGGCCTAGGATCCAAGAGGGTTCCACAGGTTTATGCTTTTATAATGCTAACTATCAGGACCACAAGGTGTTTACATCTCAATAGTACTGTTTACTTAGAAAGTTAGGTCTAGTTCACTTTACGGAGGACTAAAGTAACATTCTGGAAACCTTTTTATTTTTTCTAAAGGTGCACGTGATGATACTCTTACAGGTGGGAGCTGGGCTACACTATGCACACGCACCTCGCATGTATGTAGTGCATGGCTTCCACACCTACTGAAAAATGTGTACAGTTAAAATCTCTATTTTTATTAAAATGTTAGAAACAGGTTTTTATTAGGTTATTTCTGCTGGATGGCAAGGGTTGAGTGATTTAGAATATGGTTAATGCACGTTTGTTGATTTCCTCCGTCCACATGCAACAAACTTGCTAGCTTTATACATTTGTTAATATGTTATTCACTATGTTTTAGTTAAGGGAAAGAATGTATGTCAGTAGAAAAGGAAATGGAACTCTCATTATAGGATCATTCTACAATGTGGTGAAAGAGACAAAAAGTACTGAGTAAAATGTCTTCACATGCACTTACCTCTCAATCTGAGACAGAAATTTTGTTTCAAAGATGCCCCTTGTCTTGAGTCTTTCAGAGATCTTTCCACGGAACAGGAGTCCTCGTTTGGTAAAGTCTATCAAAATATTCCTGACTATCTCCCAAGGTACATGCCACTGATCATCTTTTCAAACCTGAAATCAAAAGGAAATTTACTAATTGGGCTCTAACCTTCATTACCATCATGAAGAACAGTATGTCATGAAGAAGCATAGAGAAAAGTTAGTGTCTGTGTGGCCTATAAAAACCAATGCATTTATATTTGTTAAAAGAATATATAAACCCAGTATTTCATATTCCTGATATGTGCCTACTATACCATGTACTTTTATTTGCAAAAGCATCCTGTTCTCCTTGTATTTCTTCCTTTGTGTGAAATCCCTGGCGTTCCTGCCAGTTTCCTGCTAAAAACTGGCCACGCTAAGCAGGAGAGCTGTGTTGGAACTCACAAAAGGTATTTATAATGTTATATATACCCACATGGAAGAAAAATATATTTGAAATATATTTTAAAAGTATTCTTCCCAAATATATTGACATATATTTGAAATACTACAATTTTGTCCATATTCCCTATATTTCAAAATAGATTTCAATAAATATAAATTAAAAAAAAAAATATATATATATATATATATATTATACACACACACACACATATACAGTATATACTGCATGTTGAAATGCGTTTTTATTACAAAATATGTTAAAAATATTTTGAAAAATACATTTCAAATATACTGTATGTCTTTAAAAATACAAATCTACATGTTTGGAATGCATTTACAAATATATGTAAAAATATATGTTAAAATTACTTTTTTATATGTAAAAAAAAATCTGAAGAATATATTTAAAAAATATATATTTTAAAATATATTCTTCAAATTTTTTTTAACATATATTTTTACATATATTTATAAATGCATTCCAAAAATGTAGATTGGTATTTGTAAAGACATACAGTACATTTGAAATGTATTTTTAAAAATATTTTTCATACGTTTTGTAATAAAAACGCATTTCAACATTCAGTGTATGTATATATATATATATATATTGAAATATATGGAATATGGCCAAAATTGTACAATGTATGTCAATGTACATTGTATGTCAATGTACAATGTATGTCAATGTATTTGGGAAGAAATTTTTTTTTTTTTTTAATTTCTTCCATATGGGTTTACTGTATGTATATACTGTATATATATATATATATATATATATATATATATATATATATATATATACTGTATAAAATATGTTTGCTCAGAAATACACTTTAGGTATTCACCATATACCGTGTAACAAAATTAGGATGACAAATACTCTAAATTTACAAATAGGTTTTAGACCAGTCCTGTAGGTTGGTATGTATTATGTTATGTTTGTGACATAAATCCTTTGTATCTGTCATGGGTAGAACCAAATCAGCAGTAATGGCTTGCAGGAGACAAAGCTAAAGATAATAAGCCCAGTACAGAATTTTACTCTCTAATCCACCCACTCTGCAGACACAGATGACACATTATACATGCACACATGACACTTTGTCAAGGTAAAGCCAGGGCTGCGATCTCGAAAATTTCATACTGAATTTCTCAGTGTTTCCATGACAGCTAGATAGGGCTACATTTGTTTCTGTTGAATTTCGGTTACTGGTGTCAAAAGGAGACCTACCTCTGCTTTCCAGGGTTAAGAGACAGCTCATCCACTGCCGTGTCAAACTCTGTACGGAAATCTTCCAGACAATCATTATCACCAAATGCTCCCCACTCCATATTGATGCACATTCTACCTTCTCCTCCCTCCACCAGGTCCACATTCCTCATCTCTTCCATGTAACAGGCATTACTGCCAGTACCTGACATACACAAAGAAAAGAATGGTATTAATTGATATACTGATTACACATCAGTATTATAATTTTTTTCAGGAAAATAAATTATGCCCCTCCTATTAATCTCTATTACTGAGACTTGATTTTTGCAGGGAATAGCAGCCACAAGTTTGAAGAGACTCTGTCAACAATCTAAATTTGCAGATATTGCAGACAGAAAAATCAAGTATTTAAAATGCTTATTCAGAGTTTTTCCTGTCAATGAATGATTTGTTTATTTATATGCAATGCAACATTGAACTTGCTAGGAAGTGTGACTAGTTTAAAAGAGCCAGTTCCTTACCATAGTCCCCTCCCTCGTTATGCCTGTGCTGGCCCAGCATCTTAAAGCAGAACGAAATTTCCACTCTCATAAACTGCAGGTTCTTTATTGCAGAAGAGACTTTAGATGTCTCTTCTGAAATAAAATACACCTACCTGCCTGCTTGCTGTCTCCTCCGGCATGTAATTTGATTTGTGCATGCGCAGCTCAGTTTACATTACTGGCACAATCCCTGTGTTCTGGGATGACTAACTCCTGTACATGCACAGGACCGACATGATCCCATGCCAGCCAAAGAAGACTGCCACCCAGCAGAAGATGTCAATGCCGGTGAAGGATGGAGATTATTGAAAGAAAGGTAAGTTTAGCTCTGCTTTAACCTCCCTACATTATCTTTTATACAACTTTCAAGAAAATAACGAAGAGGAATATACTATAGAGAGTCACTTGTATGACAGTTCAGAGTCTGCTGGGGCTGCTGATGATATATCAAAGATGATGGCACCCAGCAGCAGTCTCAGGGCTTTTGGATGTCTACCCAAAGGAAGCTTTTACAATGCATAGCATATGTTATGCGAAAGTATTACCTTATTAAAAAGGTTTTTGTTGAATTGAATGGTCTGGTGACAGGGTCTGATTAAGTATCCTCCATAGGAAAGGATTGGTCTGGTGACAGGGTGTCATTAAGTATCCTCCATAGGAAAGGATTGGTCTGGTGACAGGGTCTTATTAAGTATCCTCCATAGGAAAGGATTGGTCTGGTGACAGGGTCTGATTAAGTATCCTCCATAGGAAAGGATTGGTCTGGTGACAGGGTGTCATTAAGTATCCTCCATAGGAAAGGATTGGTCTGGTGACAGGGTCTGATTAAGTATCCTCCATAGGAAAGGATTGGTCTGGTGACAGGGTCTCATTAAGTATCCTCCATAGGAAATTATTGGTCTGGTGACACGGTTTCATTAAGTACCCCCCTATATGAAATTATTGGTCTGGTGACAGGTTCTCTTTAAGTATCCCTCATAGGAAATGATTGGTCTGGTGACAGGATCTTTTTAAGTATCCCCCATAGGAAATGACTGGTCTGGTGACAGGGTCTGATTAAGTATCCTCCATAGGAAATGATTGGTCTGGTGACACGGTTTCATTAAGTATCCCCTATAGGAAATGATTGGTCTGGTGATACGATTTCATTAAGTATTCCCTATAGGAAATGATTGGTCTGGGTACAGGGTCTCATTAAGTCTCTCCTATAGGAAAGGATTGGTCTGGTGACAGGGTCTCATTAAGTATCCCCTATAGGAAATGATTGGTCTGGTGACAGGGTCTCTTTAAGTATCCCCCATAGGAAATGATTGGTCTGGTAACAGGGTCTCTTTAGGTATTGCTCATAGTGCCCAGTTCTGTTGTTCTGCTTTATAAGGAGAATCGGACTTGAAGTCCATTTATATCAATCTGGAAATTATTAAAAAGACCTACAATATTGTAACTGATACAACTGTATGTGCTCACAGGAGCTTTTCCAGCAGAATAATTGGCTCTGTCTATTACATCCACAGTTCTTCTCCCAGATGGCCTTTATAATCATAAATGTAGATTTGCAACTTACCGACAATCAGTCCCATTTCACAGTATGGGTCTTCATAGCCACATGTCATCATGGTGCCTACTGTGTCGTTCACAACAGCTACTACATCCAAGTCAAACTCCTGTGGAGAGCAGAGTAAGACTTATGTAACAACTAGTGATGGATTTGAATGGGTACTCTCATTTTAAAATGACATTCTTTTAGTTAAAGGACCAATGAGGATATAATGCCAGTAAGTATAGAGAAATGTTGGTTATTAACTGAAGACATAGAGGCATTTGTAATGAAAATCTGCAGCTTTACTTTACTGTTTTAAACTTCAAGGGTTACAACACTTTCCCCTTGAAAAATGGAGCGATCCTTCAACTTTGTATACTCTAAAACACGTGTGTCAAACTTGTGTCCCTCCAGCTGTTGCCAAACTACAAGTCCCATGAGGCATTGCAAGATTGACAGTTACAACTACCAAAGGTAGAGGCATGATGGGACTTGTAGTTTCGCAACAGCTAGTGGGCCACCAGTTTGACACCCCTGCCCTAAAACATGCTGCCCACATTTAACATTCACACAGCTTTGAATGTTGGATGAACACTTATTATAAAGTTTGTGTTTGCCAGCCAAACTTACATGCAAATAGTTTCAAGTCAGAACTAATGATAGGATCCTCACTGCTGTGCAATGCTAGACTAGTCACTAGCATCATTGCCTCATTATTAAGATAAATTACCAGTCACACAGGGAGTGCATTGTTTTCAGTGAGTTATCTTAATTAAAAGCTGGAAATACACATGGCAACTCTCAGCCACTGTGGAGAAGGTTTTTGCAGTTATGCTGAGAAGAAGGTTCCTTACTCTCTTTGTGGAAGCAGTAGTCTCTCTGTACAGGTCTGACTCACTAGGAGGCATGCAATCAGAAAATCTCATGTTCCTTGCTGATTGGAGACTTCTGGCTCTGGTGTGTATCCGACCCCCTGTGCTTCCACACAGTGAGCAAGAGACCTTCTCCGCAGCTTGGTTGCAGGGAATAGGCTTTTCTACTCGGTCTGTAGCTACTTTATAAAGTAATCAAACTGTAATACTTGGCATTTGAAATGTTTTAGCCTGTTTTAAGCTGAAAGTTAAGCTAGGCTTTAGCTAACTGGGTAACAAAAAAATGGTGCTGAGCAATTCCCAACCCATACTGGGCCTTTGCAGTGTTGGCCTTCCATATTGCTCAGGGTCTTACTCAGAAGAAGGATGGCAGGAGCCTTGGCCAGTACAGACCCCACCCTTCTTGTCCTTCATTCTGAAACAGATACCCACTGCTAGAGAGCATGAGAGCGTACGGAACAGGAAAACCCTGCCACAGGCTGTAAAGGCTTGTAAGTGCTCAGCAGTGCTTTGACGGGCACAAGTAGCCAAGATAATTTACCATTTTGCAGCATTCACTGCAATTGCTTCAGGGCAGAAAATTAGTTTAACATTACAATTATCCTTTAATTAATGTACAGCATGTCTTATCAGTAATGCAATGCAAACAGCAAAGGACATCAACCCACAGACAGTTAGATTTCTTTCATTCAACAGAATCCTCCATCCACACAAACAAGGTGGATGGAGGAATCAGCCCCACCGGGACATTGTACTCTAACAGCGAGGTCTGTCACTGTCAGAATACATTGATCAGTGGCTGCAGCTGCTGATCGAGAAAAATTTTCCAGAAGTTGATCAAACAATTGACTTCTGTTGAGCAAGGACGGCGAAACACTGATTGAAATTTGTCTAGTTCCTGCTGAACTGGCCAAATTTCATTCAGTCTGTGGCCAGTTTATATTTTAGGTTACTCTAGTGAGACAAGTGACAGATGATTCCTGATTGCTCACTATGGTTGATGCCTTCTGCTTATGAAATAAGCTTTGTCTAAATGTACAAAATATAAGTGAAGACCCTCGGCAACCAGATTGCAGGAAGCACTCAGGGGCCATGGAGCACGGAGTAGAGCTGGCCAGAAGTGTCATCAGCACTGGGGCTCAAACTTGGGAGTGGCCACACATTTTGGGGGCACCCAGGAGCATGACAAATGAGCTGGGCGGCCCTGAAATCCCTGTTTGGCCCCCAGTGCTGAAGTCACTTCTAGCTGGCTCTGCGCTCCATGGCCCCTGATCGCTTCCTGCTTCCTGGTTTCCGAGGCTCTTCAGCCAATCCGACCAGCGGTGGTGACCTTTACCTTCTGGACTGTACTGATTGATCCTAGGTGCAGTGTATGACATACAGTATTTGTGACATGCACCTATTTTCACTGCCAGATATCAGTTGCCACTTTGTTTTTATACACTTTGAATATAGGTGAACCCCAGAGGTTGCTAATCTGAGTGTAGTAATGTACATAGTGATCTCTTCAGTCTCTGATAAGCTGCAACAAGTGTATTAGCCTCTTGTGACTATTATCTTATTGACCATTTTAAACTACAAAGCTAACCATTTATTTGCATGTTCCTTAATGGGTGTGCAAAATAGTTTGTACTCACTTCTCTTCTGTGGATAGCTTCTTTCAAGAGATTCACAACATCTTCTCCTTCACAGCCAGATGCCTTGAAACCTTTTGTCCACTTCAAAAGAATGCCCTGTGGATAAAGAGTTGAGGTAAGAATGACAGTGGCATATATTCTTGTTAATTATTGTGTATTTAATAATAAATGTTCTCTGTGGGCTGCCTTGATGAAAGCCTGTTGATCAGCAAATCTCTGTGAATGTAAAAGCAGTTCAGAGGCTGTAGAAGTGATAGACGTTGCTCTGACTTTATCACATTTGGAAACTGACTGAATGTGATTTATTTCTAAGCCAAGATACTTGCTGTATCAAAAAAAGCTGGGCAACTTTTATCAGTCCTCCAGAAGCCCAAAACTGTTCTTCATCCATGGAGAACATATGGTTGGCAGAGGTCTAGACAAGGTGACCACACCGCTCAGAACTGGTTTGTAGCTTGAGTGGTTTTCCACTTTATAGCAAAAGCTGGTAATGCCTTTAATTGGTATAGATTTTAATTCTGTATAAAATGCCCGGGTATTTTTATGTGTGTGCAGTGAGAGTTGAGGAAGGAAAAGGTAGAGGGCGACCAGATGGTCTCTTGCCTCCTAACTCTAAAACCCCCAAATGTTCATGGGATACAGCAAGTATTCTGTTCTGCTCTTTTTACAATAAGTTGGAAATCAAGAGCCAGCATGTATCATTAGGTATTACCAATCCTTTAAAAAGCATTCCTTTGGAGTTGTGAAGAGACAAGGGTTGGGGGGCAAGAGATGTTGAGAATGTTGCCTGTTAGCAGTCTAGCCGTATTCTCTCACATGACAGTCTAATGTCGAACTCCTGTAAAATGCATCTATCTCTACTATGGCAGACTGACAATCTTTTATTATAGAAGTAGCAGTAAAAGAGGATATCATAAAGGTTTGTAGGTATAAACTCTACAGTTTAGATAGGGTTTGTAAATCTGTTCAGCCTCTTTCAAGATCTAGAGACCTCTGCCATGCCACACAGCACAGAGATGCTGGGGCATTACCTGTCTCCTCTGCAGTTAGGCAACACAACTTGTTCATTAGCCTATCCCAGCCCATGGATAATCAAGAAGCAAAATCACACGGATAAGGCCATACTTTCGCTCTCCCCTTTTGTAAGCATGTTCAGATAAAGAGAGCTGGGCATACACTAGGAGATTTTCAAACAAATGTTCATGCGAAAATTTTTAGTCCATTCAATGATTTGATGGATGTCGATTTAAAGTACAATCTAGTTTGATTTTAATACTAGAATTTGAAATGAATGGACTTTTCCAAACGAAAATCCCATACACTTAGAAATTTGTTAATTCGAGAAAAAAAAAATTCATCCTGCTCCTTCAAAATTTCCTATCACTACGGCTGAAAAAAAATGTTGATTTGACCACATTAATGAGTAGAAAATAGAACGAACATGCTTAAAAGAGAAGCAGGGGTCTTAAAATAAACATTTATACTCACCTAGGTGGACCAATGTTGCATCTTTCTCCCACTTCCTCTAGAATGAGAACTGAGCGATCAAAGACCACTGATCATTCCGTTCTTGTTCTTTAATAAGCTGGTGACAATCAGTCACCGGCTCTCTGTTCTGCCCCTCCAGACCTCACTGGAGCACCGGATTGTAGGGGGACGGGAGCGGCTGGCTCAAGCTCCCATCGGTTCTGAGAGACAGCTGCCGGTCCAGGCATCTAGGTGAATCACAACATTAAAGTGGGATCTCTCCAGAGTCTGGGCAGGCTGAGTGACATCAGCTGACAGCGGGCTAATGTCTGCTGTATAATAATATGGGTCACAGGAGTGTAGAATGAAGTGTGCTCCTGTGACCTACAGGAGATGCAGGGCCAAAAGAGCTTTGGCCCTACTTCTTTAAAATGAAAAACGTTGAATACACTTCTATTAGTGCCAGTGGCCTGCTTAACAGCACTGTACAAAGCAATGGAGCCGGGACGCCTCAGAATGCTGCCCCTCCCTCTCCCAGTATGAGAGATGCTATTCAGAAGATTAACAAAGGCTGAAATTAAGATGTTTCATTAGTTTTTAATGACTGCATACATTGAATAAATTGCATACTTTTATATCTGCTTGTTCGGCTTTAATAATGCATACGGTTTTTTTTTGTTCTATTGGTAACTGCATGGTGGTTTATGCAATGCAAAACCACCATGCATGTTCACCGTTTATTATATTGGTTGCTCCGATCATTTTATTAGTTGTTGTGGGAATGTGTAGAAAACATATATTATTATTATTATACAGGATTTATATAGCGCCAACAATTTGCTCAGCACTTTACAATATAATGGGAGACAATACAGTTCAATACAAGAGGGAGAGGAGGGCCCTGCTCCTTGGAGCTTACAATCTATATATGCAGTGAATTTCTTTCTGTATGCTTATATGGACTAAACCATTACAGTCTTTTCTCCACCCAAAGCTCCACATGCACACTGGACGTTTTTACAGCTGCGGTTTTTGGCTTTTGCCGCTTTTTTCTACAGCCAGTAAACTCTAAAGCATCTTATTCTATGTGTCCATGCACACATAGACTGTAATCAATGTTTTTTGGCAGGGACATTTTTGGGCTGGAAAAAAAACTCAGAACTAGTGGGTTTCTAGAAGAGTTTTTTAGCTGTAAAAACGCTCTAATGCTGAAAAATGTGGTAAACGCCGCAAACCGGCGTTTTTGGACTTTTTTTGATTAAAAAAAATATTTTTTTTTGGTAAGAAAACGCTAAAAACTGCAAACGCGGAAAAACTTGGGAAAACTCTGCTAAACACGGCAAAACGCCGCTAAATGCTAATGCAAAAACGCTAAAAAAAAACACTGAAAAACGTTTTTAATTTGATTCCAACAGCTAATGTTACCAGCATTATAAAAACGCCCCGTGTGCATGGAGCCTAATACATTTTTTTATGTCTGTGGGCTGAACAAAAGAAAATCTACCATATTCTTCTATTTATACAGTGTGGATGGATGAGTCTCCCACTGCAGCTATTGTATTTTGACAGCCAGTCTCAGCCTGAACATACCTGAACAGTGGCTGCATCTGCCCGGATGCAGTCACTGTTCAGCCAACAATTTTTCACCCAGGTCCTTTGATCTCTCAGTTGAAGAATGTTGGGCAGGAAGGGGTCACCAGGGTCACCCAGTAAATGGGATTTGGACAGTTCATCAGGAACTGTGGAGTGAATTAGATGGACCAGAGTAACTACTGTATGTAACCATCTGGTTACAACCACCTTAACCTTTTTGCTGTTGATATCTTAAAGAAGACCCAATGAATGAATAAAGGTGCATGTTTATATGATAGAGAATAATGCTGAATTATTGATAGTTACCGCGTCTAGGCTGTTCTGGTGGCAAGGAAAAGAGAAGGTGAACCCAAGTGGTAGGGACACTCCTTTCATGCCCATATATTCCAGGAAGTCGGCAATGCAGTGCACAATGTGATCGAACAGCTGTAAAAGAATTTCAGGATTGTCACTGTGATATAAGGTCTGAAAGTATTATTATACACACTTCTAAAACAATGCTACTACTGTCAGGAATCATCTATAGCTAATCAATTAAATCAGCCAGCAGGCTGATTAAAAAAAAGAACCCAGCCACAAAGGTGAGGTAGATAGAGGAATCTTTCCCACTGTGCCATTGTATTCTGACAACGGGACTCCTCCGCAGTCAGAATACACCGATCAACAACTGCAGTTGCTGATCATCAAAAGTTTTTCAATATTCTCATTCAACAGAAGTCGATTGTTACATCAACTTCTGTTGAGTGGGAAAGGCCATAAATTGATCAAAATTTGGCTTGTCCCTGCTGAACTGGCCCATTTTCGATTCATCTAAGGTCAGCTTGAGCTCTGCTGTACTTGGGATTACAAGAGGCCGATACCGGGACAAATTCTGGTTGCATTAAAAAGGACTTTTAATGAAGTCCCAATGAATACAGAGCTGCATTAATTTGAGTCTTTTATATCTGTTCAGCTTTAAATTCATTTGAACAAATTTTCAACCAAGCACAGAGGTGGCCAGACCCCACCATATATATATATAAATCTCACCTCTTCTCCGGTCCCCTGCATGACATCCTGGGGAATGGTGTAGATCTTGTTGTGCATTTCCACTCCGCGTCTCATTCCATTCCGAACACGCACCAGGAGTACCCGGAAATTAGTGCCCCCGAGATCCAATGCCAGGAAGTCACCCCGCTCTGGACCAAAATGGAATATAGTATCATTATATCTCGCATGCCACATTGCCTCTTGTACTACTGTGTATTGAGCAATTTATGTGAATTTATGATAAAGAACAAGCCTAAAATACTGATTCACTTCTCATTTGATATAACTATATTCACCACCTTGGCCAATGCTATTGAAATAAAGGTTAAGTAAATCAGTCACTGATCATTCAAATCCCTGCAAATTATAAGAATCATTTGCACCCCCCCCCACCCCAGGTCACCAGAACTAGTGCCCCATTGCAATATTTCCACTCTACTACTTTTCTAGGGACAACCCAAAATTTGGGATTTTCTTTACTTTCACTTTTGATGATAATGGTAAACAGGACAAATAAAGAGGGCGACTCTCCCAAATGGAGGCACAGACAGCAATAAAAGCTAACAGGGGTTTGAATCCCTCTTCTCCCTCTTCACTCTATCTAAAACTAAAAAAAAAAATCTGCCTTTAGTTATACTTTAAGCTGAAACTGAATTGAAATCACAAAGAATGTTATCTTCTCTTGCATGCCATCTTCTCTAAACTTCCAATGTCCCCATGTGAAGGAGATGAAGAGAGGGGGGAAATGTTTATAGTCCAAATTTGTAGAGCAACCTAGGTGACAACCACGACTTCTCTATTAATACAGTAGAGAAATTAGTGCAGCCACCCTAAGAGAAGATGTTTAATTTACAATTTCCAGGTAAAAATAAAACTAAAACCCTACAGAAAAACGAATGCAGCCATCATATCTTAGGACTGGTAAGCTGAAATAATATAAAAATTTTGCTCTACGGTTACAAAACACTTTCATGGAGTGGAAACACCTTACCTGTTCCATCAGGAGTAGACCGCACATATGTGGGCAGCATCTTCACTGTGGCCTCATCGTGACTTGCCTTTTTCAGGCCTCTATCCATTTCCACTCTCATGAGTCTCTTGACCTCTAGAAGCTGCTTATTGCTCAAGTTCAGAGATTCAAGAGTCTTCTCACGCTCGTGACGCTGGTCAGCCAATCGGTATGCTACAGCTGTCACCATGGCCGCTCCTTTACCACTGCCATCTTCCGAACGGATGAATCGAACATCGCAGTCAGGTACAAGTCGGCGAACAGTCTTCTGAAGCAGACGGGCAAAACTGCAGATAATTACAAATAGAATGCAGACTTAGCTAGGTGTCTACCATGGAAGGTTTACTATCTGCCTCTGGCCTTTTACTTCATTTTTTTAAATAATTACTTTTGGTGGAAAAAAAAAAAAACACCTAAAAATGTAAAACAAGTTAAAAAATATATTTAAAACTATAACACTAACCATATAATTGAAAAAAGACCTGTTCATAAATATGTGTTTGCTGTAAATCTAAATTATTAGAAATCATACCACAAACAGAAGACCTAGCATTATTTGAGGTGTAACTTTTGTATAAAGAGAACTAGAGATGAGAATTATATATAATCATATACTGGAACTGAATTTATTCTCTCTTGAGAAGAGGAGATTAAGGGGGGATATGATCAACATGTATAAATACATCAGTGGTTCATATAGTGAACTCGGTGTAGAGCTATTCACCCTGAGGTCATCACAGAGGACAAGGGGGCACTCTTTATGGAGGAAAAGAGATTTAATCTCCAAACACAGAAAGATTTCTTCACAGTGAGAGCTGTGAAAATGTGGAATAGACTCCCTCAAGAGTTGGTTCTGGCCATCTCAATGGATTGCTTTAAAAAAGGCCTGGATTATTTCTTGGATACACAGAATATAACTGGATACTAACATTTATAAAGCTAATCCCGGGAATATCCGATTGCCTCTCGGGGATCAGGAAGGAACTTTTTCCCCTGCAGGAGCAAATTGGATCATGCGTTGCTGTTTTTTTGCCTTCCTCTGCATCAGCTGTGGGTGTAGCTTTTTTTTTTTTTTTTTTATGGTTGAACTGGATGGATCTTTGTCTTTTTTCAGCCAGACTAATTATTTAACTATATAATCTATACTAACGCCAAACAGCCAATCGGGTAAGTATAATATTAAAGGAATACAAACATCTCCTATGACCAGCTGCTGGACGTAAGCATAGGTTTGATGAGGCTGCAGAAGCACCAAAAAATAAACCACACAGATGTTTCTTAAATACAGGCCTAAAAAAACGAAATGAATTTATCTGATGTATGCAGTGGGTATAACACCTCCTGTAATCTACAGAGAGCAGGAACTGACTAAACCTGCAGGATAAGTCCACCATGGCACCACCAGCTATATATTATAACATAAATGGAACAGAGGCATCTAAAAGATGCTTGATCATCTACCCCAGGGATTTTTGTCAACTATATCCCCCCTGGCCGAGGCCTGTGTGTCATCCATAATATCAATCCCTGTCTGTTGCCTTTCTACATATTTAGGCCTTTTTGCTCAAACATATTCCACCAGTATATGCCTAGCCCAGGGGCGGACTGACCATTTGGAAACTTGGGCACTGCCCGAGGGCCCGGAGTCAGTAGGGGGCTCAATGAGATGACCCTGGTACCTTTTTCATAGGTTTTTTTGAGTTTGGGCAAGGACACAGGGGCCCCATGATCCCCTATTGCCCGGGGGCCCCATGATTTGTCAGTCCGCCCCTGGCCTAGCCTATTCTTATCTCCATGCTTACACTTGACCAGTATGTATCTAGCTTTGAGAAGTCTTCACACTTACTGGGGGTGATTTTTGTACACAGATCCATCCACGCCCACAGTTGATCTCAGTCGTTCCACACCCTTGTTCTCCCGAATACGCCTCAGGACTGCAGAAAGTGTGGCTGCACATAAATTGGCAGATCTGGTGGACACAATTTGGCAGATTCGGTGGGTTGCTACACAGTCTTCATGTGAAGGTTCCAGTCCCAATTTGCTTAGGATTGCATGTGCTGTTTTGATCCCTTCTTTATCTCTGTAAAAGCAGAAGGAGGCAATGAAGTAAATCCATATTACATCCAGTGAACAATGACCTGCTACCCCAAACACAGAATAGAACATTCCAATATACTTCAAAGGTAAGTAGCTTAATACTGAAAGGACGTTTAATATAGAGCACAAAGACCAGAAAACCAAAAAAAGTTTTATGTGTGTGAAAAGGTTTAATTTTTCATTACTAACAGACATATTGGGGTTCATTTACTAAAGGCAAATACACCATGCACTTTGTACAGTGCAGTTGCACTCTGCAAGAGCAGTTTTTCCATAGCTTAGTAAATGAGCAGAAGCTCTGATGACTTCCTTTATCCAATCATATGCAAGCAAAAATGCATTTTTTTTTATTTTCCTTGCACATGATTGGGTATTCTTTGCAAAGCGAAGCTTTGCCTTATTCCCTAAGCTCTGGAGCAAATGCACTTGCAGAGTGCAACTGCACTTTAAAAAGTGCACAGTCTATTTGCCTTTAGTAAATCAACCCCATTGAGTTGGTTTTGTTAATAAGTCATTTTGATGATCTTACTTTTCAATTTCTGATACATAGCGTGTCTCAAAGTGTCCAGTGGTCAATAGATCAGCAGTGATTCTTCCGCCAAACAGGAGATCTTCCTTGGCCATCTTGACTAGAATGAGCCGGACCAGCTCTCCCATGTACATCCCACTGATCATCTTCTCAAACCTAAAAAGAGTAGAAGGTCTAACTGTCAGCACCGTGCAGCTACATGGACATGGTGCAAAGAGTAGTTATGTGCAACATTCTACAGCAGCCACAGGTCAGCTACCAACAATCAAATTTTCAACTAAAAAAAAAAAAAAAAAAAGAAGGCGCACCAGCCTAGTGCATTATCCCATAGCATTTATTTAAAATCAACATAAATTATACTCACAAACATGTGAATTAAAATTCGATCATCAAGCTACTCCTCTGTAGCACAGTGATCCTTGATTTGGCACAGTCCAGAATACAGGGGGACCTCACCGGAATCTTTTAACGGCTGATGCGATTCAAAGGAAACCCCTTCTTCATCAGAGCCAAGTTCCTCTTCATCAGAGTTTTGGCTCTGTTGAAGAAGGGGTTTCCTTCGAAACATGTCAGCTGTTAAAGACTCCCCTGTACTCTGGACTGTGCTGAGTCAAGGACCACTGGGCTACAGACGAGTAGCTGCAGGAGATGAGCAATTTTAATTCACATGTTTATGAGTACACTTTATGTTCATTTAAATAAACTTTGTGGAATAATGCACTAGGCTGGTGCGCACTCTTTTGTTCATTTTTTGTGGCTTCAGAACATTCCCAGTCCTTGAGGGCAGTAAGACTATAAACAATTCCCCAGTGGGAGTTATCTTCTATAGCTATATCAGGCTATCACACTTATGCACAGAAGGCATTTTGTTTATACCAACAATCCAATTTATACTAATGAAATCTGACTTCTGATTGGTTACCCCTCATGACAGTATAACCAATAAATTATGCATTTTATTTATTCATTTCAGGTGCTCAAATAGAGCTGTCAATTTACGCAGCACTTTACATATATATTGTACATTCACATAAGTCCCTAACCCTCAAGAGGTATACAATCTAAGGCCCCTAACTTACATTCATACACATACTAGGACCAATTTAGACAGGATCCAATTAACCTACCAGCATGTCTTTGGAGTGTGGGAGGAAACCAGAGTACCCAGAGGAAACCCACACAGGCACAAGGAAAACATGCAATCTCCAGGCAGGATGTGCCATGGCTGGGATTCGAGCCAACTACCCTAGTACTGCCAGGCGGAAGTGCTAACCATTTAGCCAGTGTGTTTTAAATTACAATCCATAGATTCTTCTTTTATACTACACTTCACTATTACCTCAGTAACACTGGGATAACTTAATAACACTGTGGCAGAGTGACCAGGACATATTTTTATTACAATACAGTAAATGATCTTCTACATTGTAACCCTTTTCACTCACTCAAGACCATGTGTCAGCTGTGCAACTGCTACCAAACTTTGTTTGGTGTAATAACATGAAATGGCCACTGGGTGGCAAAGTTGCAATTGTTGTGACAGGTTTTGTGATTATTATTACATTTACTAGATAAGATAATGAAATGGCCATTTAGTAATGTGTAGTATATTATAAACCTCAATATTTATTTTTCATGAATTGAATATTAATGCATTTACATTCCTTAGCATTTTTTGAATATCATCTATTGCCTTCTGTTTGCATTTATCATTCATTTATAGTTTAAGGTGGGATGCACTTTGATTTTATTTCAGGTCTAATAAGTATGAACTGCTGCTGGACTTACAGTATATACATAAACAAAGTAAGATACTTACATCTGCTTTCCAGGGTTAAGAGATCCCATGTCAATCTCTCTGTCAAACTCAGTCCTAATGTCATCCAGTGTTCCATCATCTCCAAATGCTCCCCACTCCATGTTGACACACATGCGTCCCTCGTCACCCTCCACCAGATCTAAGTGACGCATATCTTCCATGTAGCAGGCATTGGTGCCAGTACCTGTGAAAACGCAGTCATTAACATGAGGACACTAAGAGAGCTGATGGGAGGCTGCAAGTAGTAAATCTTCAGAAAACAGCTGGAAGCCTGGCATAATATATATATATGTATTGTATATATATATATATATATATATATATATATATATATATATATAACAGAGGGAGGGACACACACACACACACACACTAAAAAAAATACTTTCTTACCTATAATAAGTCCAATCTCACAGTTGTGGTCATCAAATCCACAGGTCATCATTGTCCCCACTGTGTCATTCACCACTGCCACGATATCAATGTCAAAATCCTGTACAAAAATTAAATGGATACATTTAATTTCTGAGTTTATGCATTTCACATACCTTTCCTGGGTCACTCTTGATACAGTGTAATGTGTTTTGTTGCACATATCAATATTCACTATCATGTCAAATTCTTATTTTAATACATATATTTTGTACATATTGTTATTGTTATTGTTATTATTATTATTAATAATACATAATAATAAATATTATTATTATTATTATTAATTGTATTTGCATGTATTAGCAATGTTAAATCTAGGGAGAAGAGGATGTCACAATGTAGAACTGAAGCACGTGGTTTTTAAATATGAATTCTATCATTATTTCAGTAAGGACTGGCTGCAAAAATACCTTAAAGTGTAACTTCGGCCAGGGCATGGATATTCAGATACTTATATATTCAGATACGTATATATTAGTAACTAGTAAACATGCTTTATAACAAGTGCTCTTTGACCTCTGTAATTAGAAGCACTGTGGGGTAATTCATCCTCAAGTTTTACAGACAAGCACTGAAATGACAGTCACTTTAAAATGGTAGTAAACTCAATTTTTTAACTTTTACCTACAGGTAAGTTTGTAATAAAGCTTACCTGTAGGTAAAATTAATATCTCCTAAACGTGCACCATACATGTGCTCTGAAGGAACGGCATACCTGTGCCATTCCTTCAGAGCATTGTGCCATGGCCTGGGACGTCATCACAGCCCGAGCCAGTCAGACGACCAGAGCTCACGAACCCGGAAAGAAGGCCTGGTGAAGATGGAAGCCTCTGTAGCTGTGACAGCGTGCCGTTGGAGGGCTTCGTTTTAAGGTAAGTCCTACATGATGTGCTAGTATACGATGCATACTAGCATATTATGACATTACCTTGCAGAGAGATTTTTTAATTTCTTTTTTTTCCAGAGGTTTACTACCACTTTAAAGTCCTTCTCCCAGCAGCTCAGTTCCCTCTGCATTCTCTCCCAAAGAACCTGCTGTGTGTTTACATTAGAGATTAGAAAGTTAGAAGTCTGCAAAAGCACTGGTAGGTGGGAGAAGTGGGATCTGAGTTTTTGAGTCACTGTTGAGAGGTGGGAGCAGGACTGCTGAGCCGCTGAGCCACTATTGAGAAAAGGGGAGCAGGGAGAGTTGAGCTGCCTGAGAGAAGGACTTGAATGACTTCAAGTGATTCTAAAGGTTAAAAAAAAAATGTATGTAATGAACATATACTTACCTGCTCTGTGCAATGGTTATGCACAGAGCAGCCCTGAACCTCCTCTTCTGAGGTCCCAACGGCGTTCCTGGCTCCTCCTCCCTTTCAAATGCTGCTTGCTATGGTGGCACTCACGTAGGCTTGCTCCAGAGCCAGGTAATGTGGGTCCATTGACATACACAGCATGGCTTTTCTCCACCTCTTCCGCTCTGAACTCACTGGATTTGATTGACAGCAGCAGCAACCAATGGCTCATGTTGCTGTCCCCAATCTCCAGTGAGGAGATATAGCAGTGTTGCTGCTCTCGGGTTCAGCCCTGGATCAAGATTAAGCATTTAGGAGGGAGCAATCACAGGGTTTTTTTACCTTAAGAGAATGCATTAAGGTAAAAAAAACTTCATGCCCTTACAACCACTTTCAGTGTTCCTACTGTGAACCTTGGAGGTGAATTGCTCCATAATGCCAGCAGCTAAAGAGAGTGTGATTTAATGTTTATTTACTTCATTTTATGTAAATATTTGAATGTCCATAGATTAGCCACAGATTCAATTTAGTGATTAAGTTACATGAAATATTTTATGCATAGAACAATTTCCACCAACATTCGAAAAGATCCACTATACTTAGAATAAGGGAAACAAGTTACAAGTAAACCAAGTAGAGGGAACTCACCCCACGTTTCTTAATTGCTTGCCGTAAAAGGGTTACCACATCTTTTCCTTCCACTCCACAGGCCTTAAATCCTTTGGTCCAGTTTACCAGTATGCTCTAGGAAAAGAGACAGAACAATTACAGATCATGGGCAGCTATATCATACCCTCAATCATCTTCATCTGGAACAGAATATCTCAGTGGTTGAAGGTTAATGAATCATACAAAATAAACTTCACTGCTAAATCAGTGCATTTCTGCCATTTAGCTTTCTACTTTTATACCAGGATGTGTTTTTAATAAATTAATTAAAAAAGTATTTTAAAAAATGGTGCCAATCTCTCAAATGTGTATTGCTGTTATTTTTAAGGTTTCTTTTATACAACTTATGGCAAAATTGGAAGTAAAAACATCATTGTGCACAATTTAATAATTTAATACCAAGGGGGTTATTTATTAAAACTCTATGGTGCAAAGTCTGGTGCAGCTCTGCATAGAAACCAATCAGCTTCCAGGTTTTATTGTCAAAGCTTAATTGAATAAGTTGAAGTTAGAAGCTGATTGACTGCCATGCACAGCTGCACCAGATTCTGAGTGCTCCAGTTTTAGTAAATTTCCCCACCAAGGCTCAAAGAAACTCTTGTCTACCCAGGATTTAGGGTTGACCTCTACAAGGTTGCATCCTATAACAAGAAGCATATATATAGCAGGCTGTTAATTAGGAGATGTGTAGCCATGGAAACATCTATGGAGAAAGCTCCCTATACATATGATATGTGATATTTTGAATACTTGAGATACATTTGAGACTATGCAAGTAACGACAAGCAATCAGCAAAGCTTAAGATTTCTGAAGTTTCTATCTGTCACCATACCTTCACTGACGCAGACCGATTACAAAAGATAGTGGTTGGCTGTCGGCCAGTACGCTATGTAAACTGCTTCCTGCCCTTACTCAAACATGGAGGAACCGGTTTACTGGGAAACGAGGCACTCTTTCTTGTCTGGGTGCACTTGTGTGTAACATCTACACAGGCCTGAAGTCTGAACTGCATCTAGATAATGGTCATATCATTACCGGTTAATAAACTGCAACACTTTGAGACCAAGTGAGAGGTGCAGGACAGTCATAAACTAATGGTCACAGAGCACCTTCAGCCCTCCAGACCCATGTAGTTGCCAGCAAATGGAAAGCCAAAGCTTACTTTGGAGTTATTTATTTACTGATTTATTTCAGGTACTTATATAGCGCCGTCAATTACGCAGAGCTTTACACATATATATAGTACATTCACATCAGTCCCTAACCCTCAAGGGGTGTATAATCTAAGGTCCCTAACTCACATTCATACATACACATATTAGAGACAATTTAGACAGATCCAGTTAGCCTACCAGCATGTCTTTGGAGTGTGGAAGGAAACTGGAGTACCCGGAGGAAATCCACGCAACGACAGGGAGAACATGCAAACTCCAGGCAGGTGGTGCCGTGGCTGGGATTCTAACCAACGACTCTAGTACTGCCAGGCAGAAGTGCTAACCATTTAGCCACTGTGCTGCCTATTTATTTATTTATTCATTTATTTATTACAGGCATTTTTATAACACTTAACTTAAATATATTGTACATTTACATCAATCCCTTCCCTTGAGGAGCTTACAATCTAAGGTCCCTAACTCACATTCATACACATACATACTAGGGCCAATACAGACAGGAACCAATTAATCTCACAGTATGTTTTTAAAGTGTGGAGGAAACCCATTCAAACACAAGGAGAACGTGCTTTGTAAAAATGTTCATGCTTGATTGGTGCAGTGAAGAGGAAATTGAACAGCTTCACTGCATTAGCTCTTTACCCTGGAAGGGCACAGACATAAATTATGTCCAAAACATTGGGATCTAGTTATAAAAAACTTACTGTGGATTCGCCCAGCCTTCACAAGTAATTCCTGTAATCTGCCTTTAATGTTTATTTCCTATGAGCACCAGCTCCATCTAGTGGCCATAATGTGGTACTTATCTGATTGAGGAATGTCAGGAAAATACTACATTGTGATATCCACTAGCTGGGGACCATAGAAAATAAACATGGGAATTATTCATGATGGTGTGTGAATGCTTGTGATGTTCACAAAGCACATTTCTTAACAATAAACCCCAAAGTGTCTGATCTGCGCACAAGGAATTTTAAGCCTCTTTTCAAGCATAGAGGTTTTAATTAAAATTGACACTTTGATTGTAGTTTTAATGTGTTTACAGGGAAAGCAACCTACATTACTAGCATGCTGGTATAAAGAAGACCTGTTGAGGTAATTTATTATGGTGAAGTGATGAGAATTTTGGCTCACATCAAACACACAATCAGATAATGGGGATAGTGAAAAAAAAAAAAAGTTAGGCCTCCTGTACACGATTACATGCCTGAAGAGAATACAGGTTCCCTTTCCTTCATTCCACTAAACCAGCCCAAATAAAACTGTGTCACATAGCAGAGGGTATGCTGGTCCCGGTAGACAGTTTAGTATTGTAGGACTAATCTCCACTCACCTCATCTAGTTTAGTCTGGTAGCAGGGAAATGAGAAGGTGAATCCTAGAGGAAGCGTCTGGTCTTTAATGTTTAGTTTCTCCATGAAGTTGGCCAGACATTCAGCAATGTGGTCAAACAACTGAAATATAAAAACGTGCATGTAATAAGAAGCAGAAGAAAAATTCTTGCGACCTCTGGTAATAAGCCATTTGAGGAGATGTAAATTACAGTTTGCTTTGTCCTGATGTCAGCAGAAAGTTCAAGTATATCAGCAGCATGACATTTCCTACGGGTCATGATTATCCAATTGCAATAAAAAAAGAATGCTGACGAATGTACGCAACTAGTTCAATCAGTACTTGAATGTTGAGTCATTGGTTGACCTTGTTCATTTATTTTTGTATATTATGGTGTTTTTGGGATGGACTGGCACTGGCAACCAGGAGCCCAAGGACCTAGATTGTAAGTTACTGTATGTACAGTCCTGTTTCAAAAGTTTGCATACCCTGGCAGAAATTGTGGACTTTTGGCATTGATATTGAAAATATGAGTGATCATGCCAGAAAATGCTCTTTTATTGAATGATAATGGTCATATGAAGCCATTTATCAAATAGTTGTTTGGCTCCTTGTTAAATCATAATGATAACAGAAATCACCCAAATGGCCATGATCAAAAGTTTACATACCCTGGAATGTTTGGCCTTGGTACAGACACACAAGGTCACACACATGGTTTAAAATGCCAATTAGAGGTTAATGTCCCACATCTGTGGCTTATTTAATTGCAATTAGTGTCAGTGTATAAATAGTCAATGAGTTTGTTAGCTCTTACGGGGAAGCACTGACTAGGCTAGATATTGAGCCATGGGGATCAGAAAAGAATTGTCAAAAGTCCTGCGTAACAAGGTAATGGAACTTTAAAAAGATGGAAAAGGACACAAAAAGATGTCCAAAGCCTTGAATATTCCAATCAGTATTGTTAAATCACCTATTAAGAAGTGGAAAGTTTGGGGTCTCTTGATACCAAGCCAAGGTCAGGTAGACCTTAAAATTTAAGGGAGACGTTATGGGGTTTATTTACTAAAGCTGGAGAGTCCAAAATCAGACTCCCTTCTGCATAGAAACCAATCAGCTTCTAACCTCAGCTTGTTCAATGAAGCTTTGGCAATGAAACCTGGAAGCTGATTGGTTTCTATGTAGAAGGGAGTCTGATTTTGGACGCTCCAGCTTTAGTAAATAAACCCCTATCAGTCTACCGCTGCTCTTTTACTGTCCAGTCAGTGGACACACACACACACATATATACATATTTTTATATATATATATATATATATATATATATATATATATACACTGTCATCTACATGTAAAACCCTGGACTAGATGGACAGAAATACAAATTCTTTGGCAGGTAAAACAACTCTCTTACATGTATTTTATATGTGCATTTATATGATGCCCCATATCTAAAACTAAAAAACAACATTGAAATCTATTGTAGTGTTCCAGTTGTTTGATGCAGTGGCTACATTCATTTTTTTCAGGTATTTTTCCTTTTTTTTTTCACTTGGTAATTATGTGAATAACACACTTCCTCTCCCTTCATATCTACACTCATTTCTCCACAGCATCTATAGGGGAAGCCATGTTTGTCACACAGCCTGGACTCCAGATATGCCTGCCTTTGTTCATGTTTCTACATCTGCATTTAGGCGGTAGTGCTCACTTGGACCTGCAGGTAAATTTATAATAAAGCTTACCTTTAGGTATAATTAATATCTCCTAAACATGCACAGTTTAGGAGATATTCACTATTTCTGTAGCCAGTCACCGGCACATGTGCACTGCGCTCGGCCGAGGCTCTTGTACACATGCGTAAGAGTGATATCATAGTGGCTCGGCCATTCAAATGGTCAGAGCTTGCAAACCAGGAAGGAAGACCGGGTGAAGATGGAAGCCCTGTCAACGGTGACAGGGTGCTGTCGGAGGGCTTCATTTTAAGGTAAGTTCTTCTTTAGTAATGTGCTAGTATGCTATGCATACTAGCAAATTATGACATTACCTTGCAGGGGGGAGATTGTTGTTTTTTTTTTCAGAAAGTTTACTACCGCTTTAAGTTTTCTCAAACATTATTGTAAATTCTATTTGTAATTTTTTATACGAGTAAATTTCATATTTAATGATCCTTTATATGTATTTAACTAAAGCACTTTATTAGTAGCGCATAAAGCTACATCAAGGGGTTTCCACTGTTTCTTTAATTAAAAGTAAATAACTCAATAAGCATTATACTAAGAAATAATCAGTATAATAATGAAAATATCAATATTAATTCCCCATTCCCATATCATATTAAACACGATTTAATAGGAATAATAACGTCGAAATATTTGCGTGTGGCAGGGGTTTTTTTTACAGCAGCCCTTTGCCAGACTGTAATACTGGAAGACTGGAAGGCTGGCTCAGTCATTTCAGACTGATGGCTTCTTTTTTATTACATTGTTTTCTTTGCCAAGCTCCTGACAAAACATGTCACAGCTAATCAGAGCATTAAAGATGGCAGGAGCTGAGCAGAGTGAAGCCGGATTGTGCAAGTTATTGTAGTTGAGCAGTCGTGTTTAAATTCCTGAAATCACTCATTGGCAGCAAAATTACACTTGTGTGCAGGGGGGGAGCTATGAGCAGCACGCAGGAAATGCTGAGGAGGGCACATTCTGTAAGCTGACCACATTGTGTATGACTTCCAGAAGACTGCGTCTTCATCAATTCACTTATTACACAAGACCCGATAAGAGGTAAGCCGCTGAGGACACAACCGGAATTTATGTTGGTATCAGACTCTAAAGACCTGTGTAGACGGGGATTTGTTCACTTCAACAAGTCTATGGCAATGCAAAATCTGCTTGAAGCAAGTCAAACACAGGTCAGAAGGTCAAATGCACCAATTAATTCTCAGAGATGGTCTCAAAGGTGTCTCAAACTGATGTAAAACTGATGCCATGGACACAAGCCCAAAGCCCGCAGGCACAGTCCCTAAAAAAACGTATTCCATAGTTCTTAAAAGCTGAGTTTTTTTCAGTACACAAGGAAGGTAGTAAATTGAATGAGAATTGTCCCTTGTGCTGATGGATGTTCTCTTGGAATCTGCACTCCCCCGCACCCCATAAACCTGCAACCTTAATTTTCCGGTGCTATGGGGGTTAAACATAAAGATGCTGGGCTTGTCATAGGCACTCATCAAGTTGTTCACTCTTTCCGCCCCCCTCTTCCATTCATAGAAGCTGCACTATAGCTTCCCGCAATGAACAGCACTCTATGAATAGAAAAGGTAGACCAAGGTTTCTCAGTCAGGGTTCCATGGGACCTTAGCGTTCCTCCAGGGCTTTCTTGAGCAATGAGCAATTTCTGCCTGTCAGATAATTCCCACTGACACCATTGATCTTTTTCACTCTCTATAAGGGGTTAATTCTTCCCAATGTCCACAATTGTAAGGAGCATTCTTCCCAATGACCATCACACTAATGTATCGTGAGTTGTAGATAGAGTCATTTTTAGCATGGGTTCCCTGAGACTGGAAAGCTATTTCAAGTGTTCCTCTATGTAGAAAAGGTTGAAAAAGGCTGAGGTAGACCTTTCATTCATCTGCCTGTCCTCTATTCATAAAGTGCTTTTCATTGCTATTATAAATCCTAGGAATGGAGGAGGTGGACAGAAAGGGCATAGTCAGCACTTTTGAGTAATGCCTATAACAAGTCCATCAGCTCATATCAGCCTATACAAGGCACCGGACAATTACCACTGCAAAGGTATGAGGGGCAGAGGATGGAAGAGTTCAACTAAGAAAGCAAAGACCAGCACAAGGGACATTTCTCATTCAATGTAATTACTGTCCTATGTACTGATTTGCAAAAACAAAATAACTAAAGTTAGGCTTTATGTGCTAATTCGAAGCACATTGATCAATGGCGACCATTCAGAATTCATCTTGTACCTATTCTAACTGGTTCTGTACTTACAAATTAGCAGTCCAGAACACTGTTAAATAAGGCAGTCAGGTATACATAAAAAATGAAAAGTCACCAGCACTCTCTTGTAGATCAAGAATTAATGCAGTTTTATTCTTGTCATGTCACATAAGTCAAATACAGCCAAAGTTTTGGAACTTCAATTCTCAGGACCCTGTAAGAACCCAAAATGTTGGCTGTATTTGACTATGAACACTGTATTTGACTATGACTATGACCATGACAAGAATAAAACCATGTTAATTCTGAGTGCTGGTGACATTTTGTCTTCCATTGAAGTATTGCACAACACCATCCGTTACTGTCACTATGACCACATAGTGATCACCACACTGTATGGGGTACAGCCCAAGACTTTGTTACTCTAAGGCAGTGTTGCTCAACATTTTTTCAGTTTGTGGCACCCTTTAATAGTATGCAAAATCTCAAGGCAACGTAGTCTAAAAAGTATGGTATGGTATGGCATGATGGTGAAACATCTAAAAAAGTTAAAGGGTCACCAAGGGTAAAACGTCTGTACACACACCCTCTATGAACGGTATACAGGACCTGATACAAACTAGCAGCAAGTCTGTATATGTATTGACCTAGGATACTCCAGACACTCCTAGCTCATGCTCTCACCTGTGATCCACTCCCCCTCATCAGATCCTCAGGGATGGCATAAATCTGATTCTCCATCTCTACTTTCTTTTTTCCATTATCTGAAACTTTCACCCGTAAAACACGGAAGTTGGTTCCTCCCAAATCCAGTGCCAGGAAATCTCCATTTTCTGTGGAAGAAAAGAAATTCATGCATTAAATTTAACCAGTCAGCTTAGTACCTGATCTTTTTTTTTAAGACAGACTGTGATCTAATAATTCACCAATTTCTTCTAAATTCAAAGTAAGCTACAAATTCAAAATTGATGAATACCCAGAACTCAGAAGGAATGATTCTACTACTGGGACAATAATAAAAACTGCATTGTGCATCCTCCTGCTCTATTGTGAATGTGTTTTTTTAACAAAATCTTGGTGTACTATCAAAAACAAAAATACTAAAGAGTATAATGTGATCAAAGAAGGCAGCCTCTGCTTGACTTTTCCCAGATTTTGAAAATAAAACTTTAGGAAGCACACAGGAGCATGGCATACCTGAAGTCCACCACAATTCACCTCAATTATTGGGATAGGATTTTTAGCTCAGTCATTGGTTTCATTAGCTGGAATTGCCAATCTAAATGTATGTACAGATAAAACGTTTGTTGTAGTTTTGGATAAAGTATGAGTAAAACCCTGTGTACCATTGGGAAATTTTCCCTTCACTTCCCGTACTTGACAGGCCACAGGAAGTTAGAGGGAATCTCTTGAAGTCAGGGGAATTCCTAGGCACCTGTCCCCGGAAGAGGTGCCTCATTTGAATATTTTCCCTTACAGGTTTTTCTGGGGACAGCTCAAAAATTTTGGATTTCCCCTCACTTTGTTTCTCGATGGAAATGAGTACAAGTACAGATAGAGAGTATAAATATTCCCACTGGATATAAAATCCTGACATGTGGCCTAATCCTTCCTAACTTTATCTTAAACTATAACAAAAAAGGTTTTTGCCTATAGATTCACTTTAAGGTAGTTTAAAACCCATCACCTGGCAAAAAAATAAGTTTTCCTATGCTGTAAGGCTGTGCCTGCACTGCACGGGTGAACTGCTTGTTTTGTCTAGGGGTGAGGAGAAAGATACTCACCCAGTCCTTCGCTCCCCCAGAAAACAGTGCTCCACTGTGGTCCAGCAGTGGACTGTTCCTGGTCTACGGAGCCTGCTCTGGACTTGATGACGTCAGGAATAGCCCACAATTCAAGGCCTCTGGAGCATGGGGGTGCTGAACCGGTCTTGTGCTGCGAGGATAGGAGGATTAGGTAAATAAATCTCTTTTCTCCTCTCCCTAGACAAAAACAAGCAGCAAACCCATGCGGGTGTGAACACAGGCCCACTGCATGGAAAGACGTTTTCTGGTTCAATAATTTTTATTGGGTTTCAAGACAGAACAAAATGAGTACCAATATTGCTCACACAGGGACTATGGAAGAAGCATCCCATAATGCAAAACATAGTGGAGTGTCAAAGAAAGCCAGAACAATATTAAATATGAACAGGTGAGTGGGAAGACCATATAGGGAACCCCATAATGTAGATCTTTGGAAGCCAGAAAGTAGGCTTCCCATCCATGAGGTAATAAAAGAGACCCCAAGAGAAAGAAAAAGGAAATAAAGAGAAGAAAAGGTGGATGTAGAGGATGAGGAAGGGGATGAGGGGAGTGGGGGGATTTGGGACCACCTCACGTGTCAATCAAAGGCGACCAATTCTAGCCGAATGCATCAAGGGGAAACACTACTCAATCCAAGGTTACCAAATTTTGAGAAATTTGGAAAGGGAGTCCTTCAAAATATTAGACATAGTATTGGAGAGGAGCCATGGAGAGGAGATATAAAGTAGCCTAGGAAACCCTGATCAACAATGGTATATCTTTACTTGTTGTAAGATATCAAAATGGATGTGAAATGGGCTTATAAAGAGAAAGACATGCGTCAAAAAAGATATAAAGGCTAGCTATATGCTTTGTTCAAATAAACCAGTTAGTAACTGATACCGAAACATTCCATAATTGTGCTCTGGAACAGGGGCGGACTGACCATTTGGAAACTCGGGCACTGCCCGAGGGCCCAGGGTCAGTAGGGGGCCCCATGAGATGCCCCTGGTACCTTTTTCATAGGCTTTTTTGAGTTTGGGCAAGGACACAGGGCCCCCATGATCACTTATTGCCCGGGGGCCCCATGAGTTGTCAGTCCGCCGCTGCTCTGGAACTATGTATTGTAAAGGGTATTATTATATCATCTTAGTTACCAGCATTAGCATTACATCTATGCTTCATGTACAACACAAGGGTCATATTAGGAATAAAATGCAACCGCACATGTGAATCATGCCAACACACATTTGTTTATATGGCCATAAGCTACCAAGACTGGTATGATCATAATGGTTATACATTCATGTCAATACCAGTTTAATTCTCTTAGCAGACTTTCATTAGCCCACAGATGCTTCCATTAAACCACAAATAATGTCAAAAGGCCCTGACAAATGCCAACATCTCCATACTGCCAATCTGAGCCTGTACTGCACTGCCTCACTCTACTGTCACCCTTGCTAGTTATTATCTCTGAGAATGTAAAGCTAAACTGCAGGATAAGCAAATGTTGTCTAAATACACAAGTCATGTATATTCTTACTTGAATCTTGGTGTACGTTGTGTATTTCTTCAGATCTGTGCAGTAATCCAGTGCAAAACGTTGTCTCTGTGTAGGAGATTTCTGTAATAGAGACCAGTCACTGCTGCTCTCTCTCCTTGTGTTGGTCTTGTCTCCGCCCCATCCTGTAGTTTTCTACAGGCAGCCTGTAGTGGGTAGGGCCTGTTGGCCCCTCCCAAAGCTCTGATTTCTGCACAGTGATGATGTCACTGCTACTTTTACAAGATAATACCTGGGTTTACAAAAGCATTTGGTGCACAAAAAGAGCATTTATAACCTTTGTGGCTGCTGAGGAGTATATTTAAATGAAAATTGTTCTGCCTAGGGTTGAGCTTTAATTATGTTATATAATACGGTAGTAATGTACTGTTGCTGTATTGTCTCCCGTTATATTGTAAAGCGCTGAGCATACTGTTGGCGCTATATAAATCCTGTATAATAATAATAGAATCAATGCTAGTTGTCTTGCTATGCCAAGTTATTGACATATTGTGGAACCCGGTGTAGTGACACTCAAACTGAATGACTTGATAGTGCCTAGGATGTGAGACCTGGAATGACCTCTCTCAGCACTCTATTCCAGGCAATGATTCTGCTGTGCTGGCTCCAGTGCGGGGGATTACACTGCCCAGAACCATTGTGTTTATACAATGAGAAGGCCATATAAATCAAAGATAGCCGGGCGTATTTAACCCCACCGAAGCCGAAGCTGGATCTGCGCAGTATTGTTGTATAGACCTGTTTCATTGTAAATATTACAATTGCCTGGTATTAATTCATTGTCTTCCCTGGGATAATGGAAAACACATGTTTTCTAGGAATATCTCCATAGAGACTCTACATCTAAATAGCTCTTCATCTGAATATTCACCTTTTCTGCTCATCCTCCAGAAATGTCATGAGTAAAGCCTGTTTTATAATTCAATTGGTGTTTTATAAATGGTGTTTTATAATTCAATTGTAAAATTCAACATATATATAGATATGTGCTACTTTTGATAAATAAAAAATGTATTTTTATTTATGGAGCTATACTATGGGAGAGATTTACTAAAACTGCTGCACACATAATCTGGGGCAGCTGTACATAGCAACCAATCAGCTTCTAGGTTTTATTGTCAAAGCTTAAAGTGTTACTAAACCCACGACAGTAAAATCTGTCTGTGTATGCAGTAAAGCATGCTCGTTATGCTCACTGTGGAACCTAAGGGGCTAATCCACCGCAGTGTGTTAAAAGGCTGTTTGATCCTGTCTTCTTTGATCCTCCCCTTCTTCCACTGTCCCCAATCGATCTGCTGATGGTACAGAGCTCTAGGAGGCACTCTGCACATGCTCAGTTTAGTGTTTGTTGCTAGAGAGTTTTTTTTTTCGTTTGGGAAGGTGCATGTGATCAGCACAGGGCCAATCAGCACTGATAATGAAGTTCAGGAGTCATGCAGTCTCATAGGACAGTTAGAGGAGAATGAAAACTCCTCCTACAAGCTTTAAACAGTGCTCAGTCACAAGACTGCTCTATACTGCTGATGAGAAAAGTTATTTAGCAGTTAATATTTACTAAAATAATTGCATTTCCTGTGGAAGACCAAATATAATGAATGCAGGGTCCCGGGTTTAGTAACACTTTAATTGAACAAGCTGAAGTTAAAAGCTGATTGGTTACTATGCAGAGCTGCACCAGATTCTGTGTGCACCAGTCTTAGTAAATCTCCCCCTATGTGTGTATTTGTGTGTGTCCCCAGCAACCTCATCATATGACAACAGAGGCTACACAAGCAATCTTATGACTCCCTTCTGCTGTCGTCAGAGAAGCATCACTGCCGGATGCCTTTTGTTCACTGTTTATTAAAGTTTACATTACCTGACTCCTACTACTGAGGCTCTGATCAGCTGCATCTCATCTATGCCCAGAACTAGAATGCACTAACATCCTACATTTTAGCTGATGTGATATCATTAAAGGTGAACAGGTATAAAAGATACATTAACGCATTTTGGTATCAGATAAATATATAACAGACACATTAATTCAAATCTGTATCATGTGTAAAAGGCACAATAACGCAGGTCAGTATCATATATAAAAGACATATTAATACAGGTAATGTCCATTATTAAATCATCCAATGTAATTTTAAGTTTACATCTAGTGCAAGTACCTGATTTTCATTTGATTTGGCCTTGTACAGTAGCACTTAGACCGGGAGAGGGATGATCCAGGACTGGGAGTCCGTTTTGCCAGTTGCATGCTAAATAGTATTACACCCAGGGGCAGACTGACAACTCATGGGACCCCCAGGCAATTGGGGATAATGGGGCCCGTGTCATTGCCCAAACTCAAAAAAAGCCTATGAAAAAGGTACCAGGGCATCTCATGGGGCCCCCTACTGACCCCTCGGGCAGTGCCCAAGTTTCCAAATAGTCAGTCCGCCCCTGATTACACCCCTTTCACATGGGGTGGATCTGCTTTGCTCAGCAGGGGATCTTT